ATGGAGAAATAAGAAACTAATTTAATTTTTATACAGATAACCAGTTACCCCAGCACTAATTATTGAATCCCTTCTCCTATTGATTTGTAATGGAAGCTTTCTGATATATCACCTTTGTATATATGACCTTTCTGATATATCACCTTTGTACATTTGTGGATCTGTTTCTGAGTTCTATAGTCTATTCCTTTATCCCTGTATCAGTACCATACTGTCTGAATTTCTGAAGGTTTAGAAAATCATGATATCTGGTAGGTAATTATATTTTACCTTGTTCTTCAAAATTGGCCTGTCTATTCTTGACCCTTTGCTCTTCAACATACATTTTAGAATTCGATTCCATGAAAAATCCCATGGAATTTTAAGAAATCAGAATTATTCCATGTTGATGCATCAGAGAAACTCACTATGTATAGAAAAGCTGTGATGCCTTTGCAAAAACAAACATACAGGTTTTTGTACAATAAAAGCCATTCTTAATTTATTAATAGAAATTTGTATTTGCGTATTACTTTTTCTTATAGTGGAATATCCTTGAACTTATTTTGCATTCAGTCAGTGGTTTGACTATTCTAGTTCTAAATAAATGCCTCCTTTTTAATGTTCTTTTTCCTAATTAACAAAGTGCCAAGTAGAAAGAGATAAGTTATGCACTTTAATTATAATAACTCCAGGCTACTGGGAGACTTCTTATCACTGGCTTGGACTGTACATTCTCTCCTCCCTTAGAAAGAGCATTAGTAAAAACTTCATGTAGGCAGCTGTGGATCTGAGGTCTGAGGTGGTGGGGCAGGCAGGACATAAGAGCAGAGAGCTCTATTCTAGGTTCCTTCTAGTCATGCTGCATCTGGTCCTCTCTGTGTGCATTTCCTTCTTATTAAAAAATGGGACGTGACTATGAGTCTGGGTTATTATGAGAGATAGAGAGTTTAAGAGTATTGCAAAGAGTACTGGAGGACGGCCTCAGGAATCCAGAACTCTAGACCATCTCTGCCACTAATGAGCTGTCTCTCTGGGCAAGTCACATGGACTCACTGAGCCTCAGTTTACTCCTCTGTAAAATGGACTTGTTCGACTGATCTCTAAGGTCTTTTAACAAAAGTCAAAATTTCTTTGACTCTGAGACTTTGTAATTCCATATTCCTTTACTCACTCTTCACTTCTCTTCTGGGGCCTCAGTTCACACACTTATGAAATGAGAAGTTTGGACTGGGTGGTGTCTCTTTCAACTCTAAACTCCTAATCCGAGGACAGGAATGGTGGCAGTTTTGAGGGAATGTCTTTGGATTCGGAAGAAGAGTCTCACCATGTAAGTATTCCTCCTCATGGCATGGCCAACTGGGCCAGGCCAGGACAGGACAGAGTCCCATCAAGGTATAGTAACATGGCGAGAGTGTCTCCGATACCTGGTGGAGATCTTGGCCTTCGGCGAGGACATGACGGTTAGTTAAATGGAAGATAGAAAGACATATAAAGAAGTCTAAAATATGGTTTCTGCCCTCGAGTGGTTCACAATTGAGTTGGGAAATATAAGGGAAAGATTATAAGGCCAAGAGTTCAGAAAATATAAATACTATCTTAAACATCTCTTGATTTCATGAAGCTATGGGAGCATATTCTGAGCTCATAATTAGAGGCATATGTGTGTGTGGATAGCCTCATCCAGGAGCTGTAGGAGTGTCCTAAATGTCTTGGCAGCTCCATCTTTTGTGTAGTCACAAGTTTTTCTCCAGAAGAACTTGATGTTTTCTTTTTAAAATATCACTTGATTTTGGTGTTTTGATGATATATTCTGTCTTAATAGAATGTGTCCTACTAGAAGGATGGATAGGCTATGTATAAGGAGGTAAACGAAAAGAATGGCAATGTGAAACAAAGTCTTGAGGTCAGAAAACACAAGATGTATTCAGGAGACAACTGGTCAACCAGTTTGGCTGCTAAGGCTTTTCAAGAGCGGGGGAAAAAAGCTAAAGATACAATTTGGAGTCAGATTATAAGTGGCATGATGTAAACAAAAGAGAGATCAAGGATAAATTCTAGCTATGATGTTTACTATCCGCATGCCTTTGAGCAAGGTCTTTAATCTTTCTGAGTTTCTATCTCCACATGGTAAAATGGGAGTAATAATACCAACTTGAGGCTTAAAGAATGAAAAGCTCCTGGCGTAGTAAACACAATCAATAAATGTTAATTTTCTATATCCCAGGCTCTTTCTACCTTCACAGTGGCTTCTTCTTTATATGTGGTTGGGAGAGCAGCAAACAGACAGACCTGGCTTTGAGTTAGGCTCAGCCAGTTACAATGTCTTTGACTTTAGTCAGGTCATTTAACCTCCGTGAGTTTCAATTTACTTATCTACAAAGTGAAATTAACCATACTTACCTTGCAGGATTATGGTAAGGTTTAGAAGTGTATTATGTGAAGTACACAGCACACTGTTAATAGGGGAGAAGCAGCAGGCTTTAATAAATAATGGGGGTGGGAGAAAGGAGGAAAAAGAGGAGTTATTGTCACTGAGATCCTTCAATTCTTTACCCAGGAGCCTAGGATTTATCTGGAAGACATTGTGTTTGGGGGTTGTCTTTGAAATTTTTTTCAGATAGGGTATCGTATCCTAAGATGAAATGAAAATCTTGACATTGATGAGAATAGTACGAGAATGGCAAAAATGTGCACAGGGCAAGAAAGAACACCCTGGAGGTAGAGAGGCCAACCTACTGAAGACAAAATCCAGCTCTCTTAATGTATGTGCTGTATAAATTTCTTGTATTACCAGATGGATTCTTTCCTCTGAAATCTAACAATTCTAAACATATGAGAGAGACACACATAGATATGGAGAGCGAGACAGGAACAAAGGGAAGAAACAGACCCAGAGAAAGAGAGAGGCCAGGAGAGGTAGAAAGATACACAGGTACAGAGAGACAGGAGAGGAGAAAGATGCCTTTTCAAGAGTTTCTTGGCTTTTTTTTGTATGAAGACATCTGGCACACAGCTGTGCTGGCTGGATGCAGGTGGCTTAAGAGAACTTGCATCCAGGTATAAATCTGGCATCGATAGCTGACATGTGGGCTATTTTAAATAAAACTCCAGGGATTTGGCCTGGAGGTGGTGTGTTATCCCACTTCCATCAAGATGCACCTGAACACCTGAGAACAGTTCTTGCGCTGTCTTCAGGTCATCTGCTAACCACGTTTCTCTCTTTCTGGTCTGGGGAGAGATTCCTGGTCAGCAGCGTGCTCACTGAAAATGCTTCCCACACTCCCTTTCTGCCATTTCCTTCAGCTTCGTTTTTGATCTGCTTGCTATTTTGCTTAGAAGAGGGTGAGTTTGCTTTTGTGAGAAGATTGTTTGGCTTAGCTTATTCTGAAAGTGGAATGTTTTTAAGTTCAGTTTGTGCCTTTAATGTCTTCATTCCCTCCTTCACTCCCTCCCTCCCTAGCTCCCTCCTTTCCTTCCTTCCTTCCTTCCTTCCTTCCTTCCTTCCTTCCTTCCTTCCTTCCTTCCTTCCTTCCAAAACTCCCTCCCTTCCTTCCTTCCCTTTTTTAAAATCAGTCATCCAAACACTGGATGTCTAATAACTAATGGGTATCAGAAACCTACAAAAGTCAGTTTCTGTTGCCACAGTTGTCACTGCCCTCAAGATGGGGTGCCTGGTGGGTCTGTTTAGAGAAGGAATTTGGTACCTATGCTTGCTGAAACAAGGAAATGGGGGAGTTATGGAGCAGCACTTTGAAAAGCTCCCACATCCCAGGGGAGTGCTTCTTGTATGTAGCCTAAGACAGGACTGTTGCAGGTCAGTAGACTTCATGGATGACAACTGAATAAAAATGCTAATCTGACCATCCCCCGAAGGACAATGCCCTGTATTGTCTCTTCAGAGTTCTTCTTAGCCCACCTTCCAGTTCTGAAAGATCCCATTGTCCTACTAAAATGGATGAAAATGGTTGGCCCCCAAGATACCACACAGTGCCCCTTTTTTTTCTGGGTGTAGAAGTGTTTGCTGTAGTATAATGTCTCTTTCTTATTTCAAAGAATTTTTAGAGAAATATTTCATATATAAAAAATATGAAACATATAAAATAACTGAACACTCACATGGACAGTGCACCAACTTTAAGAAACGCTATTATGCAGTGCTCTTGAAGGAAGGCCCTGTGTATTACACTTCATTCATATCCTTCTTCCAACCTCCCCCAGGTACTTTTGTCATTGCCTTACTTTTCTTAAGAGTTTAAACGACACACATGTGTATCCTTAAGTACTAGATTAAGTTTTGCTTGCTGTTGACTTTTATATAAATGATATTAGACCGGATGTGTTTTTTTGCAACTTGTATTTTTTGCATGGAATCATATGAGATTAAGCCATGTTGAAGCATTATTAAATGTTCATGCATTCATTTCTCCTATTCCATTCCATACATATACTATAATTCATTTATCCATTCTCTGTTGATAGACATTTGGGGAATTAACTTGTCATTATAAATAACAAATTCATGATGTTTTTTACTACTACAAATTCCAATGCTATGAACATGTTTTTCACATCTCTTGGTACACATGTGGAAGAGTTTCTCCAGATTTTGTAAGTTGGCGTGAGATTGTTGGAGCCAAAGACATGAACATTTTCTACTTTATTAAATATTTCCAAGTGTTTTGCAAAGCATTTGGACACATATAGAATAACATCAGCGTATAAGAGTCGCCCTTGATCCCATCCTTGGTAATATTTTAGTGCCCAACTTTTACATTTTTGCCAGTCTTGTCATTATAAAATGGCAGCTCTTTCTGGGTTTAATTGGCATTTTTTTGATTTTTTTTTTATGAGATGAAACATTTTTTATATTTTTTGGTCATTGATGCTTCCTCTTTTGTCTTGAAATCTTTGTGTGTCCAATATGTTCTGGTCCATTCGGCACAGCACTGTCTACTGATGAATTAGGTTAGGGAGCGGTGGCATGTGTTGACAGTAGTGTGCTGCTTTTCTCCGCGAAGGCCTCGAGGAAGCAGGAAGTGGCCGCTATGGACCCCATTACGTAACCGACACGGGAGCCGGTGAGGACGATGATGGATTTGAAGACGACTTAGATTTGGATATTTCCTTTGAGGAGGTAACAAAAATTTCTACTCTTAAAGCCCAGGGTGTTTTTGTTTTCTTGCTGAACAAGGCAAGAAAACAAATTAAATTGTGCCAATGGACTATTTTACTTAAAACCTACTTAAATTGGCTCATTTGCTTTTAACACATTTATTTACTCTGACTATTAGGGTTCAAGTGATCATAAATTAGTAGTTACTAAGCACCAACCATGCTGATGTTCTATAGTCAGCCCCTGCCTGCTGACTTCACAATCTGGCACCAAATGAAATTTTACAAAGTCAAGTATTATAAGAAAATGAATAATTCCTTGATAATTCGATCTTTGTGATATTGTAATAATAATAAATCATATAATATCAGCTTTACTAATGATTTTCTGAGTAATACAATGCAAGGTACTTAAAATCCTTGAACCTCAAGTTCTATATCTATAAACTGGGATCAGTACTGTCTGCCCCATCTATATCCCAGGGGTGTGGGAAATATCAAAAGTGACCATATTTCCAATGATTAGGCATTAGCCATAAACAAGGCAGTCTCATTTCTGTGCTCTATGTTAATCCCGAACCTATTCCCTTCTCTGGCTTTAGGTTAAACCACTTCCTGTTATCAAAAAAGGAAATAAGAAATTTTTGATGGAATCCAAGATTGTGCCTAGATCAAAGCCAAAGACGATGTCTAGGCTTGTCCCCTCGACTCCGGCATCTCTCCCTATGACTACCGTGGCTCCCCAGCCCACTCCACTGCAGAGAAGAGGGAAGAATGGCATGGCTGTGATGCCGAGGCTCTTCGATATGCCTTGTGATGAAACTCTCTGCTCTGCTGACAGCTTTTGTGTCAATGACTACACCTGGGGGGGCTCCCGATGCCACTGCAACTTGGGCAAAGGTGGTGAGAGCTGCTCAGAAGGTAGGCCCTTGGTGTGGGGAAGAACTTGATGGGGCATTGGCTCCACTGGAAGCCAGAGGGAAGCTTTGCCATCCACTCATCGTTCTTTCTAGCCCTATTTCTAAGATAAACCCCTTCTTCCTTGTATAAGTCATTAAATTAGCTACACAGGGCAAATATGAGGCCACTTCCATTGCTTTTAGTTAGACAGCACCCCTATTTCTATGAGTGCCAAACGTGTAGTACTATTGGTGCAATTAAATCATCCTGACAACTCCTTGGGTAGGTGGACTTCACTTTTATCGCATCTCTTCTGAAAAAACAAATGCAGCTAAAATATGTGCATGAAAGTTAAGAAGGATAATAATTGAGCCAACTTATATTGCACAGATGTATAGCTGGAAAACAGATGTCAGTGGTCTACAGCCATTCAGTTCTTTTTGGGGTAGCAGGTAACAAACAACCTCCTAAGATCCAGCTTCTCCCTAAGAAGTTTGGAAACTCAAAGTCCCCAAGAATGAGAATTGTAGATGTGAAAAGAAGATAGTGAACTAAGTTTAACAGATTACCAGAGTTTTTCACTTAATGACATCCAGGCAATGGTGTATATTGATTTTTGCATTTGAAGAAGTGAGAAAACAGCATATGTTTGTATTGTCTTTTTCTCTTTTCAGATATTATTATACAGTATCCTCAGTTCTTTGGCCACTCCTATGTAACCTTTGAACCTCTGAAGAACTCCTATCAGGCATTTCAAATCACTCTTGAATTTAGGGTAAGAAGGGTTGGTTGTTTGATGAATACCTGTTGGACATCTTAACACAACAGTGTGCGACGTTGAAAGGCAGGAGAGGGGGAGAGGAAGTGGGGAGGTAAATATCATTGGTAAATATGACACAGAGCCTGTCCTTAAACCGTTCACAGGGTAACAAGGCTGATGGGCACATTCACACATTCAAGGGTGCCGGCGAGGGGGAGATGGGAGCTGTATGTTACTGAACTATGGAGGTGGCTCGCCTGAAGTCTCCTAGAGATAATGTTTGAGTCCCAGCCATGTTGTTCATAATAGTGACACCTCCCTGGCCAAGATTTCAGAAGGCATAATGCATTCTCATTCTAAAATCCCTTTTAAAGGGAGCCCAAATGTCTGCCTTCACTGCTATGGCTGCGAGTGAACAAATAGAAAAACTGTTATACACAAGCCTGGCTTAGAGTCAGGTCCAGGAGATGCTCTCTGAATCAACTGCAGATCAGAATTCAGTGACTTCATCTTAAAGCAGTCCTTTTGGGTATCCCAGATGACATGAAAAGGTTGGGCGATCTGGAAACAAGTCCTCTTTGAGGTCATGGTCATTGGGCTGAGTTCCAAAAGGTGATCTGTTCCAGTCTAAGGACAGCCCATATCCCTAGAAAACCAAACTAGTTGTTTTTATTGTCCTGTTCTGACAGAAAGAAAGAAGAAAATTTGTATGCTTCCCCAGAGGGAGGGAAGTAAAAACAAAAAATAAAGGAAAAAATAGGGCGCTCTTTGGTGAGAATAGAATTTGATGAGCACGAGAACCACCTCTCTGTGAGTGTGGTCTTTGTGCACATGGTCTTCCTGAGGCTCTGCTGGAGGAACGAACTGGGACTAGGTACCTGGGAATTAATTGGAGTCCACGTGCTTGCCCCTTTGTAAATAGGACCACAGAGGAGAATGTTCAAGTTTCACATTCATGAGTGTTTCCAGGTGGCACTTTATGGAAAAGGACGTGATCATTGTTCCTGTGGCTTTTTTTGTGTGTAATAACAGGCAGAAGCGGAGGATGGCTTACTTCTCTACTGCGGGGAGAACGAACATGGGAGGGGCGATTTCATGTCCCTGGCCATCATCCGACGCTCACTCCAATTTAGGTAACTCCCTCCAAAGGCCCACAGATTTTTTAATACTACTCTATGTTATGTTTACATTTTTACTGTGTGAATAAAATATATACAGGATGGATTCCTGTAGATAAAGAACAGTGTGTATCAGATGAGCATGGACCGGTTTACTAAATACTGGAGTGTCAGGAGTGCAGGGCGACCTTAGCAACTTGAGTTTTGGAACCTCGTCACCGTTCATTCTTGAGCACTCACAGTGTACCAGGCACTGCTGTAGATCTTGCATGCAGTAGTGAGCCAAAGCAGTAAAGTCCTTTCTCTCCTGGAGCTCTAGTGGATGTGATAGGGTAAAGACTGGGATCTTCTCCTTTTTGCCTCTGGTGAATATGACTGACAGCCATGGAGAGCAGAGAGGCACCTACAACCTCCTTAGGGATCTCAGAGTCTCAAACTCCATTCTCGTTTTCTCCCGGGGCTGTGGTAAACTTTGGCTTATCTCCTCTGCCCTGGTCATTTCTCTCCCAACACACTTTGGAATCTATCTTTAGTTTATGTGTGGTTTTGGGGACACAGTTTGGTGGAGATGTGAGTGTTTTAACTACCCTCATGGAGGTGACCAATGGGGATCAGCCTTGTCCTTCTCCACAATGCACTGGTTAAGATCCCGCCGGCACCATTTCTCTGCTGTCTGACCCTCAGCAAATAACTTAACTTCTTCAAGCCTGTGTTTCTTCCCAGGGCTGTTGAGAGGATTAAATGAGTTAATGCATAAAATGCAGTATGTAGAGCAGCACCTGACTCATAGCAAGCACTCACCCAGCATCAACCATACTATCTTTTGGTTATTTCAACACAAAAATTACTTTTGGTTAAGTTAGTGAAGACTGTTGAGCATTCCCCATGGGGTAGAAAATGGTCCCCTGTCCTTTGCTAAATGCTTTGACTCATGAGAGCTCGATGCTAGCCACCAGGATCTGGGCCAGGGGTTCTAACCATGTAAGGCTCTAATACTTGGAGGATCTGATAGACTTCTAGTAGCACTGGCAGTTTTTTGGGGGTGGCAGCTCCCTAACTCTGCAACTCTTACTGAATGATTTCAATATCCCCATTAAGTAAGACTGTCCTTCAAAGCCTCTCAACCTATTCTACTCCACTAAGGATCATGAGGCAAAGGGAGGCCATGAGAATGGGCTACAGTTAGTTCAAGTCCGGATAAGAATGATGTTGCCGTGGTTCCTTCCCCACTGGCAACATCAGGACCCAGGGGGAAGTGGCATGGTGGCTGCTTGGAAGTTGTCCAGAAAAGATTAAAATTCTAGATGCCAGGCATAGTGACCAGTGGACACCTTAGGCCAGAGGGAGGTTGTGGGGAAAAAGAAAAAAGAAGAATGAGACTGTGTGAGGATGTTCACCCTCTGTCCACATCTCACCTCTACGATGGAGCCTCGTAGGGAACCTGTGTCTGCATTTGGGCACAGCTGAATACAGATGGCAGTGCTGGCCAGCTCATCAAAATGGGTGTGAAATTTGGCTTTTTTACATTTTGTTAATATCACTGAGCCTGTCATTTGGGAGTTGGGGGAAGTCCCTAGAGAAATCCCTGGAAGCAGAATGACTCAAGTTCTGATTCGTTGCACCTTGAATCCACTTTAAATATCCGGTGATCTCTGAAAAGAAGAGGTAGGTTCTTAATTACCCATCGTTTTCTAAGCTGCAGGGAAAATCAGGTTAAAGAAGACACCACGTTTCAATGTTCTAAGGGAAGATTAAAGATAACAGAACTGAGGTCGTCCCAGGGAAGAGGTGTCCAGTTATTCCACAGATTTAAGTAGCTCTTGACCTTCGTTAACGTAACTGAACAGACTGACTCTCAAATAAGCCATCACCCTGGAAGTGATGTCCATGGACCCTGAAAACATAATGAGCTGGTTGATCAAAGAATCCTTTTTCCTCCTCCACAGGTTTAATTGTGGAACTGGGGTTGCCATCATCATAAGTGAGACCAAAATCAAGCTAGGGGGCTGGCACACGGTTACACTCTACAGAGATGGGCTGAACGGGCTGCTGCAGCTCAACAATGGCACCCCGGTGACCGGCCAGTCCCAGGTGAGTGTGAGCCTCACTCCTTGCCCATCCGCATAGCACCCACTGTAAGCATCCTGAAGAGGTTCCACTGCAGGGAGCTGAGGCAGACTTGGCAGGATGCAAGCTCCCGCGGACCACTTTTCATGGCAGGCCCATGCAACTGAGCTCTGATGTGCTCCTGCTGGATCTTACCACTCTAGGTGGGCTTTCAGGGCACCCATCCACCTCACGTCTACCAAAGAGGAGAACTGATTTGCAAGCATCATCGCTATGGGTGCCCAGGGGTAGAGGAGGAAGCCATTATTAGTGCCAGACTCAAAGTTGACTTTTAAGGCAGGGGTCTTGCAATCCTGTGGCTTTAGAAAATAGTTCCAAAAGGTTCACTTGGTTATATATGCAAGAATAATCCATTGATTTACGTTTTGTGGGGCTCATGATTATAGGAAGTGGTAAAACAACTGTCGGGCTACTCAGCAAATCACCTAGGTATTCACATATTTGTCATGCTCTGGGCAATTTTAGGACCACGTTTGGAATAAACAGTTTGGATGAGCAACCCGCCAAGGAACTGAGCCTGTAATTATAATCAGTCAGGTGTCTGTATTCTCTGGGGAAAATGTAGCAAGAAAGCTTTTGTGTGTATGTGGATAGCTTCCTCCCTGCCTGGGCTCTTCACTACTCTGTACTGGCAAGACATGTTGTATAAAGAGCTCTGCCTTGCTGATCTCCATTATTTTGGACCCCGATGGTTCCAAAGAAACAAGAATCCAAATATAATGAATGTGAATTCAGTGAGATTGTTTATGCATCTATTTCTAAGGAAGGAAAAGAGAGGATAAATGAACTAGAGTCACATTAATGCCAGAACAATAGGCCTAATATAATTAAAATTAAGTTTGATAGGAATAAAAAAGCTTTGAACTGGTACCAAAATACTGACATGATGACAGGATGAAGAAGCTATAATAGAAGCAACACATGTGAAAATGTCTTTGGTTTAAAGCAAAGAAGTTCAGTAAAAGTTAATAAACAGAGACATACGGTAATAGCAAGCTAAAGAAATTGTAAGTTCCATCAATAGAGGTATAGCATCTAGAAAAAAGGAGATGATAATTCTGTAAAGGCCAGGCTTGAAGACTATTGCCTGGGATATCGTAAAGAGGGCCTCAAAGGAACCAGCCATCTTGCAGTGCACACAATGATCCAGAAAAGGAGAAAAGGATTGAGCTGTCAGTCAGGCCCTTGCTGTGGCCCTGAATCCAGGAACAGGACCAGGACGGTGAATATGAGATCCAGAAGGACTGAATGCTGAGGATCTTGATAAAATAAGCCAACAGGGCTCTCATATAACAAAAACAATATGCCGGTGGCTGACAAACAGTCCCTAAAACCCACTATAAGTACTTTAACTCTGCCTAGCTCGTATTCAGTATACTACTTAGTGATTCTTATCTATTCATTAGCAAAAATAAAGCAATGACTAGATGTTCTACTTGTTGGTAACAAAAGTGTAAAGACTCAAGATTACATTTCAGTGTCTTACATTCTGGACATTTTATAAGTTCTGGCAGCAGGCTTTTCCCCAACCCCCTCTATCGCCTTTAATCCAAATGACCGAGAATTTTGTCCCACCTAATGTTCAGCTCTTACTTTCTAACCTCAAAACCTGCCATCCAGGTTGTGGTTTGCTGTAGGACTGGAAATGTCCCCACCTAACTGAAATAACACTTTAAAAAAAAAAAGTTGTGTCCATGAGCAAATTTCAAAATATTTTGCAACAAAATCTGTTTGGCAATTCCACTGCCCCCCCCCGCCCCACCCACAATGTTTCTTGCAGGATATACTATAAAGGTGACTGGGATAGTGAAAGAGTAAACGTTAGCCCACATATATACAAAATTATCATTATCACCTTTGAGACACAGAGTAGCCCTATGACCTGTCCAAGGTACACAGTAAACTGGTGTCAGGACTGCAAAGAGAAAGTTTTTTTTGGATGCCCATCATGGTACACTGCCTGTTGGGTTGCTCTTGGCTCTGACCTTCCTTCCCTTCCCTTCTAGGCATTCCAAAATCATCCCTTCTCCAAACACAGCCCTCTGAGGAGCTCACTGAGTTTCCTTTGGTAACTGTGGGTTTAATTTTGCAGTAGGGCAATGTCTTAAAGATAAATACAGATGGGAAAAAGCATAGGGGCTGTAAACTACATTCTAACCATGTCCCTCATTAAAATCTGTTGTGTTTTTGGCTTTAATTTTGTTTATCGAGCCACGGTTTTCATTTTTCTTGAAGGGCCAGTACAGTAAAATTACCTTCCGGACGCCCCTCTATCTCGGTGGGGCTCCCAGTGCCTACTGGTTGGTCAGAGCAACAGGAACAAACCGAGGCTTTCAAGGCTGTGTGCAGACACTCACGGTGAATGGGAAGAGAGTCGACATGAGACCCTGGCCACTGGGGAAAGCACTCAGTGGAGCCGATGTGGGTGAGTCACTTCCCAGTGGGCCGGGTGCTCTTGTGGGGTTACCTTTTAGGCGTGGGCCAGGGAGGTGAGTTGCCTCGTGGGTTGCAGGCCACAAAGAACTGCAAGAAGGAGTTAGGCCCAGGGGGTGATGTTGGCGCTCTACAGACCCCTAGTCTGAACACCAAGACGTGGTAAACAAGACGTGGTACACGAAGCCCTTGGTCGTGTCCTGCTGCCATCTTGGCTCTTTTCATGAAATGTGGCATGGTCTCATTGGATAAAGCAGCAGGCAATTCAACCCTTTTACCCTTCCTCATCCAGTCCAGTGGAAAAGCCAACACAATAATGTAAGAAGAGCTTTCACATGCTCTCTGCTTATAAGAGAAATGGTTAGGTTCTAATTTTTGACCACCATGCCCAACGCTTTCTCGTATGCCCTCTCATATACTCCTGACACTCACTCTAGAGGGTAGAGATTATTACTGTATCTATTTTATACACAAAGAAACTGGGGTTTGTGAAAATTAAATAACTTATCCAAAATAGCAGGCAGAGCTAGAATTGTTTTTTTTCTATTTTCTTTATTTATTAAGATGTTATTTTTTGAACAGTTGAAGGTTCACATCAAAATTGAGGGAAGGTACACAGATTTCCCATATATTCCCTATCCCAACACATGCACAGCCTCCTCCATTATCAACATCCTCCACCAGAGTGCTACTTCTGTTATGACTGATGAACTTACGTTGACACGTCATAATCACCCAAAGTCCATAGTTTACATTATGGTTCATTCGTGCTGTTATACATTCTATGGGTTTGGACAAATGTATAACAATCTATATTCGCCATATTTTCCCCAAAAATCTTCTGTGCTCTGCCTATTCATCTCTCTTTCTCCTCACCCTCACCCCCTGACAACCACTGATCTTTTTATATTCTCTATAGTTTTGCCTTTCCCAGAATGTCATATAGTTGGAATCATACAGTATGTAACCTTCTCAAATTTGGCTTCTTTCAGTTAGTAATATGCATTTAAATTCCTCCATGTCTTTTCATGGCTTGATAGCTCATTTCTTTTTAGCATTGAATAATATTTCATTGTCTGGATATACCACAGTTTATCCATTTACAGCTACTGAAGGACATCTTAGTTGCTTCCGAGTTTTGGCAATTATGAATAAAGCTACTATAAACATCCAGCTTTTTGGGTTGGACATACGCTACTATAAACATTCAGCTTTTTGGGGTGGTAAATACCAAGGAATGTGATTGCTGGATCATGGTAGAGTATGTTTAGTTTTGTAAGAAAGTGCCAAACTGTCTTCTAGAGTGCCTGTCCAATTTTACATCCCCACCAGGAATGTATGAGAACTCCTGTTGCTCCATATCTCTGCTAGAATTTAGCGTTGTCAGATTTCCAGATTTTGGCTATTCCCATAGATGTGTAGTGGTATCTCGTTGCAAGTTGCATTTCCCTAATGATATGATGTGGAGTATCTTTTCATATTCTTATTTGCCATCTGTATATCTTCTTTGTTGAAACATCTGTTAAGGTCTTTAGCCTATTTTCTAATCTTTTTTTAAATTGTTGAGCTTTAAGAGTTACTTGTATATTTTGGACAGTAGTCCTTTATCAGATGTGTCTTTTGCAAATATTACCTCCCAGTCGGTGGCTTGTCTTCTCATTCTTTTGACATTGTCTTTTGCAGATTATAAATGTTTAATTTTAATGAAGTCCATCTTATCAATTATTTATTTCATGAATCGTGCCTTTGGTGTTGTATCTAAAAAGTCACTGCTACATCCAAGGTCATCTAGGTTTGCGCCTATGTTATCTTCTAGGTGTTTATAGTTTTCTGTTTTACTGTTTAAGTCTATGATCCACTTTGAGTTAATTTTTGTGAAGGGTAAAAGGTCTGTTTTTGAATTAATATTTTTTGCATACAGATGTCCAGTTGTTCCAGCACTGTTTGTTAAACAGACTAAGATTGTTTTTAAAACAATAAGGACATTTATTATATCAGTGAAGGCAGTTAATAGATAATTTTAAGGATGGTTAATTCAGTGACTGTTTTAGTCTTCTAGGGCTGCCTTAACAAAATAGCACAGACTAGATTGTTTAAACAACAGAAATTAATTTTCTCACAGTTCTGGAGTCTGGAAGTCCAAGGTCAAGGTGTTGGCAGGTTTGGTTTCTCCTGAGACCTGTCTTCTTGGCTTGTAGATGGCCATCTTCTCACTGTGTCCTCACATGGCCTTTTGTCTGTGCTCACATCCCTGGTGTCTCTTCCTCTTCTTATTTTTATAATGACACCAGTCAGATTGGATTAGGGCCCACCCTTATGACTTTATTTAACCTTAATGAACTCCTTAAAGGCCCCGTCTCCAAATGCAGTCGCACTGGGAGTGAGGGCTTGAGCCTATGAATTTTAAAGGACACAATTTCATCTATAACAGCGACTCAGTGGTATCAGAACTCTGGGCTGGTGTCTCTGTGATCCCTTTGCTTTCACTCATAATCCCAAGATGGTGCCACATCTCTAAAGATCACATCCTCACATGACATTATCCTTGGCAAGAAATGGGAAATCCCTTTCTTGTTTTTTTCCCCCCATCATCTCCAAGATGTTATTTTTAAAGAATGCTCAGTGAACACTATGTACCCACTACTTAGATTCTACCATTAATATTTTGCTCCATTTCCTTACCCCATATCAATTGAATCCTCTCTCCATTCCTGGATTAGAACTAGGGTTTGATCCTCATGTCTGCAAATACAGTTTGTTTTGTTTGTTTCTTTTATAGCTAATATTAGTTGATCACCTATGACACGTAACTACCATCCTAAACTACTTTAATCTTCCCAAGATGCCTACGAAGTAAGTGCTATGAATGGCCTTAGTGTTTACAAATGAGAACTGGTAGTACAGAACAGTTAAGTAGTTTGTCCAAGGTCACGCAGCTAGTAGGTGGTAGAGGCTAACTGTGACCTCAGCTATTCTCGTGCCAGTGCCTGCCCTCAACCACATCTATCACATCAGAGGCTCCCAAATTGGCTTCAGATTGCTTCCTTCTACCTTGCTCACTCCTAAAGGTGACACTATTGTTAAAACTACAAAAGATTAAGTTTACTTAAAAGGAAAAGGTTACAATTCATATCTTATCCCTGATGTTATTTTTCCCCAGTCGATCGCTTGATCAAAGCACACAATACACAGCGACGCCTTAAACAATTAGAAAGCACCTGCTGTGGTAGGACGATGTGGTAGGACAAGTCCCTCTCCTTGGATGTCGGTGGTGAGTCAGAGCCTAAGAACCAGTAGGTGCGTCAGAACTTTCCTGTGATGTTTAGGAACCTGGTTTCTGAAGACAGATTGTCTGGGTTTAGTCAATCAGTTAAATTCTCTGGGACTCAGTTTCTCCATCTGTAAATAGTAACTACTGTATGAGATGATTTTATCTAGATGAATTGTGGTACATATAAAAGTACTTAGAATAAAACTTTGCACCTAGCAAACATGTTGTAAATATTTCCTCTTATTTATATCTGACTCCATCCATCAAGCAGGTTGTAAGTTGTTTCTTCTCTCTTTATTGACCTGGCAATCTCGAAGCTGCATGGTAACTTCCGAAGGGTAGTTCAGAAATTACAAGGGTAAGCAAGAACCAATTTCTAACAGTATTTCAGATTTTCACACAGTGAGATACCAACCTCTCCACTGAGCAGATGGCACCAGGAGGGACCACGTTGCTGCCTCTGTGTTCCCTGGAGGCCACTATTGGATTATTTGATCTCCCTCTATGCACTTTAATGGCAGGCATCAGTCACATTGCCTTTTTTCATTTCTTCCCATTCCCCCCCAACACCCCCACCGGGGTACAAGAACAGGGCTGTTTATCTTTCTTCAAACTCCATATTTACTTTACTTTGAGTTAGTCCTCCTGAAATTCAAGTTCGTGTAAGTTAAATGCAGCCCACCACTGGGAAAGACTGGGCTCATGCAAACAGCACTGAGTTTTTGGTGGAGACACAATACAGACTTCCAGTCGCAGTCCTTGTTCCCCCGTCTGCCACCTCTGACTTGGCACTGCTGCCTTCAACCACGACTTTTCCTCTGCCCCACCCTCGCCAACCTGTGTCCACTCCTCAGAGAGGCCCTTCCTTACTTAACCCTTCCCCCTTCGCTTCCTTCATTAGATTATTCCCAGCTGTCAGACTCTCTCCGGACTCACATTGTAGAATAGTCGGCAAGCCTAGCAAAATTTTGTATTCTCTGGCCCAGCCTTTTCTTTTATTATTCTCACCTAAATTCTCATACGTAAACCACCACCACTTATTTTTTTCCAGTCCTGCCTGGGATCTCCACACCCTGCTGTAGCAATGTCCCAGAGCCAACTTCCCAAGTTATTTGAGACCCATGTGGTGGACATGGGTCTCACTGTGGTTTATCACTCTTTTATTCATTCTTATTTACATATCACAGACTTATTTAATCACCTGCTCAGTCACATTGCGGGGTGTTGGGGATAAAGCAATGAATAAAACAGACAGGATCCCAACTCCACTAGCTGCCATGAGAAGACACCAAATTAATCAAATAATCACACTAGTAAATGTAAAATTACAAAATTCGGGGTAAATGTTACAAAGGAGAAATGATGGTGCAATAATCATGTATAATAGGGGGATTTATGGGCTGGGGGTCAGGGAAAGCGTTTCTGAGGATATAATGTGAAGTTGATGTCTGAGGCAAGAGTAGGCATTAGAAAGCAAAGAGAGGGAAGTGCATTCCAGGCAGAGGAAGTGGCTTGTCCCCGTGGGAGTGTGAGGGAGAGGTGAGTACCACGATCTAGTCTGTGTTTTGAAAAGATTCTTCTGACAGTAGACAACTTATTAGGAGGAATGTTCAGGGGATGCATGGAGACCAGCTGGGAAGCCTCGCAATGGTCCAGATCAGAGCTAATGGTGGTTTGATCCAGGAGGGCAGTGGTGGCAGATTCAACAGGTCTTTAGAGAGGAACTAGATGAACTTCAGTTACTGGGCTGGATTGGGGGGTGAGGGGCAGGGAGGTTGCTCACCGTCCACCTCCTTAACGTATTCCACTCAGTGACATTTCACTTTCTCTTCTCACCTGGGGAGCCTGATTTCTCTTCTGCCCCTCACTCATTATCTTGTCTAAACTTACACAACAGCTGGTATATAGTAGGTGTCTGTGTCAATGAAAGTTATTTTATGAATTAATGATGAGGTCCTGCCAGCTTTCTCTCTATATATGGCCTTGTACCTCCTTCCTCCTACTCTCAGTAGCTGAAAGTTTTTCTCCCCTCTAAGGCTAACTTATTCATCCACTCTGTGCCCCTGGGATCTTGCTGCCAGGATTATTAATTAATTCTCAGCAACCCAAGGGTTCTTAATCTTTTGTGTGCCACGGAACCTTTTGACGGTCTGCTAAAGACTGTGGACCTATTCTCAGAGTGACATTTTTAAATGAAGAGAATAATATACATGATAAGAAACAATTATATTGAACCCAAGCTGTACAATATTTTAAAAATGTTGATATTATAATAATATAGGTGCTTCTTTACAAAACATTTACAGAACAGGGTTGTTTAATGGTGGGTGCAATAACTACATGATTTCAAAGTGATAAAGAGCACAAATGATATTTTAAGATATCTGCAACAAATGGAATGTGATATGACTAACTCAGGTCTGCTGGTTATAAGTCACAAGAACTGCTGATCTAGAGTTTTGTTGGCTGTATCTATAATTGAAGGAAGCACTCAGTTCCAGTGGAAGTTAGGGAACTAAAGTTGAATATTTTTTTTCCATCAAAGTTCGTGGGCCCCTGCTCTAGCTTACTCACACTTGCCCAAGTCCCCTCCAAGGATTAAACCAGCACCATGTTCCCGCGATCCTGCTATCTTCCTGGTCTGGGAACTTGGAGAACCTCTCTCCTCTCTTTTAAGACCTGACTCCAGCAACCCTTCCAGGCCGCTGTCTGAACCTCCGGTGCTGGGGCTTCTGCCTTCCCGTGAGCAGCAAACCTGCTGTGAGTCATCCTGTCTTTACGATCCGTGCAGCGCCTCCTCTAGGCCTCCAGCAGTGTTCACTCAGACTTCTCTCTCTGCTGCTGCTCCTCGCTGAGCTTCCTCGTCTGGGTCCTCAGGGCACTTCCCCTGCTCTCCCTTTGTCTTCTCTGTGGGCTCCTCACCTTCTCCAGTTCCCTGAGATTTCCACGGGGCCCTTTCATCTTGTTCTCTCTCAGGGAGCCCATAGTTTTTAGTGTCAGGAGGGTTTTTGCTGCCCCTCCAGCCCTCACTGGTGAGCAGAATCCCCTCCTGCCAGGAGGCTCAGCAGCAGATGTTTCCACAGTCACCCGATGCTTAAATTGAGCAAAAGCCAACTCCTCCTCTGCGCCCCAGAAACCATTCCCGTGCACAGTGTGCTCATGTCTTTACTCTTGCCACTGTTCGAAACCAGAGACCTTGAGGTCATGCTGATGTCTACCTCCAGCCTCTGGAATAAACTGCCTATTTCTTCTTTCTCCGCGTCTCTTTGATTCTTCACTTTCTCTCCATTTCCTCTGCCATGACCCCATGCAACCCCACTTTACTTCCTGTAAGATTTCTTTCCCCTTTCCCGCCCCCATTACTCACAATCTGTCTTGTAGACCATTGCCCGCATAATCTTGCTGAAACACGGCTTTCATCAAGTAAGCAACTCTGGCTGGCTTTCATGCTCCCTCCCACCAACCCCCACTCACTCAACTCCCACCTCTTCAAAAGAAGCTACAATGCAAATTTGTAAAAAAGTTTTTTCCATGTGTGTCTAAAATAACCCAAGGACCCCACTTCTTCCTGTGGGACCATGCCTTCTCTGACGAAGAACCTCAGCCCACAGATATTGGTGGAGCAGAGGGACCTGTGAGAGTTTGGTTCTCTAAGAACAAAGTCAGCCTCTCTGTGGACTGAATGCCGGCAATATTGTCAGGGCTGTAGCTGAACAACGACCAGTGGTCACTTCAGTCGTCACTTCTGTGTAAACTTCCAGTGGCCCCTACCCCACTGCTGGAATTCACAGAGGCCAGCCCACCCCCAGTAGAGGAGGAAGCCATATGGAACTGCTTTGTTTAAACTCTGTTATCAGTCCCTGAAGTCCATCTCCTCTCCTGGGTACATACTCTGCCCAGCCCTTCCCCCTCCTCCCAAGGCGGCTTTATGAAAAGACTGGATCGATTCAGCAAACACAGATGACTGATGGGGAAAAGATAAGAGACTCACCCTGCAGAGATGGCACAATCAGGCCAAGGAGGGTTCTTCATCTAGGTGGGGGGGGGGGGGTGGGGGGAAGTGGGGGGCAGGAGGGACAATCAGCTCATGCAAGTACAGCATCGGAGACTGTGGGGGCAGAGCTGGACCCCTCACTGCTCAGAGACATCCCCCCCTTGCCTCCATCCCAAGAAAAAGTGTTTTGTACTCACCTATGTAGTTCTGGGCCACACTGTGGCCCATCTGTCTTATTTCTTATACACAGGAAGAGAAGGAAGACCAAAAAAGCAGAAGAAAAGCAGCTTGGGAAAAGTCAATTTGTTTTCATTTCATCTGGTCATTTACACTTGAAGATGACCAAGTATACTCTCTCTGATACGTGTTTGGTTAAGAGAACTAACCAACCCATCTGATGTTGAACCTTTCAGCACTTTTTACTTGCAGCCACCTTCTTGTCCCTCATGAAATCATAACTTTGAGTTAGCAATAGAGATTCTGAGGTACGACATGCTGAGGTATTATGGAGCCCTCCTTCCCCCCTCCCTACTCCAGACAGAAGCGTCCACGGTTCAAGCCAGTTTATAAGCTTAGACATGGCTGCTTAATTCCTTCAGTGCTTACCTTGGTTGCTTCAGCTTTCAACCAACAAGAAGGCAGCACTTAAGGTAATTGGGGCCGCATAAATTAGAACACACCATTCAGCATACACACTGTATTGACATTGAAGGGATTGAAACACACTCTTGTGGGAATAACAGAGAGATGAATTAAAGCAGAAACGATGCAGTCATCCACACCAGTGGTCATAAAATTGCCCAACAATGTATTATGTGATTTACTGTGTCTACCATGTTTTAAAGAACAAGCCAGAATCAAACTAAAAGGAAGGGAGGGTTCCACTTATCCTGTAAGCTGGTTTGCAGTTGTGCAGAGGTGCAAATAAAGAGGAGTGGGAACTGCACTGTATTTGTTCAGAACCATGAGCTGTCGGCGTGGCCAGCTCCACCGTCTTGGACTGGCTCACATGATGAATCAGTTTGTAATTCCCATTCTGCGTTTAGGCGAATGCAGCAGTGGAATCTGTGATGAAGCTTCATGCATCAATGGTGGCACCTGCACAGCAGACAAAGCCGACTCCTACATTTGCCTCTGTCCCCTTGGATTTAAAGGTCGACACTGTGAAGATGGTGAGAAAGAAGCATCATGGATGACGATTTCTGTCTGCATATTAATTCACGTTGATGTAATTTTTCATCAATGTACTTTTAGCGAAGCCCCATACATTTTTATGGCATTAACACTGCTTGTTTGGAGGGATGGGAGAATCTTTTTTTTTTTTTTTTCCCACTAGGTCGTAGTGTCTTCAAGTGTCAAAATGTTGAACCAGCCAATGAGTTCATTTTAAGATGCTCCCGGGCCAGGCTTTGATGGGCTTCCCTTGGCCCTCAAATAACTTTGAAAAGCCCGTGGTCTGTATCAGACTGAATTCGAAACATTCACAGCTCATGATCCTTAGATATCTGACAGTTTCAGAGAAAAGGTTGGGAAGATATACACAGAAACATTAACAATGTGATGAGACAAAAGTGATCTTGTTTCTTTTGCTTTGTGCTGTTCTACTGAATTATCTCACCTTGCAATACTGGAGATACTGATCATATAAAAATATATATATATACATGTGTACATATACATGTAAACACATGTGCACACACAAGTGCACCCATATAATAATAGAAAATTTTAAATACGTAAAAGATTTTGGAAAACTACGCAAGGTTGAACATGTTTTAACTTTTCCATGAGTGATTCAGATTTGAACCTAAGACAACATCCTGAGGAAAAGTTAGCAGTGTATAATCTCAAATCTCATGTCACCTAGAAGAGCGTGTGTGAGTCAGGGTAAGCCAAAGCCGTTACGTGCCATCTCATATTTTTGTAGCTAACATAATAAAGGCTGATCCTTGCTTACATTTCACATTGCTGCTGGTCAGAGGTGATGGTGGTGGTGAGGTAGCCTCTGCTCCACATAGTTATTCAGGAACATAGGTGCCTGCCTTCCAGTGGCTCTGCTAGGGCTTCATAGTCCTCTACTGATTCCTGCATCCAGACAGCAGGTGAGGGAAGAGAGAGCACATGGAAGATGGAAGGAAGTTCAGGGGTCAGGCCTGGGGTTCTGTATAATACTCCCACCCAATCCCACAGCCAGAATTCATTTATACCACCCACCTAACTGCAGGGCAGCTTAGAAATATGGTTTAGCTCTGTGCCTTGGAGGGAAAGAACATGGAAAGGCCTGCCACAGAAGGATTTGTAACAACATGCTTATTTCCTCAGCTTTCACCTTGACCATTCCTCAATTCAGAGAGTCCCTGAGATCCTATGCTGCAACACCCTGGCCACTGGAGCCCCAGCATTACCTTTCCTTCATGGAGTTTGAAATCACATTTCGGCCGGACTCGGGTGATGGCACACTCCTGTACAGTTATGATACAAACAGCAAAGACTTCCTGTCCATCAACATGGCAGGGGGCCATGTGGAGTTCCGCTTTGATTGTGGCTCTGGGACCGGTGTTCTCAGGTAAGGGCTGAGACCTTTAGGGACCCCTTTCCCCAAAAAAGGCAAACAGCAGCCACGTTGGAAGAAGACGGATTTGTCATCTAATAGCTTGTACCCTTCCTGTCTTCCCTA